TGATGCAATGTATATATTTATGATCTTTGATTGACTAAAGTAGCCACACCTACATCGAGGCTCAGAATTAGATAAATAAAAACAATAGCTATTATTCAGAATTAGATAAATAAAAACAATAGCTATTATTCAGTGGGACTCCTTCAGCTCCATAGCTAATGCTTCCATTCATCCTAAGATTAACTCCTTGCCCTAATAATATATATGTATTATCTTTGTCCTTGTAATGTATTATAAGAATACTTAACTGTGTTCATGTGAAACTTATACTTAGATGAAGAAGCTATTGTATGAAAAGAGTAGGTGAACATTTCATGATTCAAAATTCAGAAAAGTATATGTCAGGGCTGTATCCTTTCCCCATCCCTGTTTAATCTGTATGCTAAGCAAATTATTTGAGAAGTTGGACTCTGAAAAGAAAGTGGCATCAGGATTGGAGTAAGACTTACCAATAACCTTCGGTATGCAGATGACACAATCTTGCTTGCTAAAAGTGAGGAGGACTTGAAGCACTTGCTACAGAAGTTTAAACACTGGAGACTTCCATATGGATAACATCTCAATGTCAAGGAAACAATACTCATCACTGGACCCATAGGCAACTTCTGATATTGTTGTTGTTGTTGATTGCCTTAGAATCAAGCATGATTCATAGCAACCCTATGAACAAAAACATCGTGATAGATGATGGAAAGATTGAAACTATTAACAACTTCCTCTTTCTTAGATCCACAATAAATAAAATTGGTGCTGGAGGTCGGGAGATCAGGAATCATAATCTACTGGGGAAAGTCTGCAATCAGAAACCTCTTCAAATTATGGAGGAACACTGATGTCAATTTGAAGACTAAGGTGCACTTGATTCAGACCATAGTCTTTTCAGTTATCTTCTATGCACTGAGAGCTGTACAATGGGTAAGGATGACATAGGAAAAATGTATGCCTTTGAGTTAAAGTTTTAGAGGAGAGTATTGAGTATTTCATGGATTGCCAAAAGAAAAAGTAGAGAGCGTGAAGCCAGATTGCTTTTGGAAGCAAGTATTCTGAGGCTTTATCTCACATACTTTGGGCATGTTGTTAGAAGAGGCTATTCCTTGATGAAGGACATGCTAGGAAGGGTGGAGGATCAGCAAAGGAGAGAATGACCCTCAACCAGGTGAATTGGCACAATTACTGCAGCAATAGTCTCTAGTGTGTCAGAGATTGTCAAGTTGACACAGGATAGGATAGGGTTTAAATCTATTGTTTATCATGCTGCTATGAGTTGTTCTCGACTCCATCATTGCTGTTGTTGTTAAGTGCCATCGAGGCATAGGTGACTCATAGTGACCCTATGAATGAAAGTCCTCAACACTTTCATCCTTTCCCTAGGTTCATAGTGTTTCTGGAGACAAGTTTCATGCTTCCAAGTTTGTTTTAATCGGAGAGCTTCAACAAACACTGTCCACCATGGGTAACCATTAACACATTTGACACATCAGTGTCATAGTGTTCAGTTTCACAGCAACCACAAATTACCTCTGTATGGCAAGTGGACACACCGGAGCTATATGACCTAGAAGAATGTTTGAATTCTCACTCACTCCTGTGAGGGTGAGGAGTTGAGTCTCTTTTCTGAGACTACTTGTTAAAGGCAAAATCATGAAGCCTAACAATTTTCAGTCTTAACTTTTAAACTATCACGTTTATTTTTAATTCTGGTTTTCTAATGCTAAATGATCTGGGCCATAGTCTTTGCAATTGTGAGCTATGCGTCCGAGAGCTGGACAGTGACTAAGGATGATAGAAAGAGAATTTATGCCTTTGAACTGTGGTGCTGGAGAGGAGTGTTGAATATACTATGAACTGCTAGAAGGACAAACAGGTTCATCCTAGAGAGGTTGAATCCGGGCTTCTAGGGCATGTTGTAAGGAAGGACCGGTCCTTGGAACAGGACATCATTTTTGGGAGGGTAGAGGGGGCGAGCAAGAGAGGAAGACCCTCGATGAGATGGATCGATTTAGTGATTGGGGTAATGGGAGTAGGTGTGTTGGAGACAGTGAGGTTGGTACAGGATAGAGCAAGGTTTAGGGTTCTTGTACATAGGATCACTATGAGTCGCAAGGGACTCGATGGCATGTAACAACAACATCAACAAATGCTAAATGAATGTCTTAATTGGGGTCTTGCTGGCTTCTCTTGTCATGATTACTTTCCAGTAATCTAAATGAAGTTATGCAACCTGAACACGTCCACTTACTCTCATGATAAAATCATTCAGGCTACTTATTTTAGGGATTATTTTTCTGCTTTTAGAACTTTCTGTAGGTGTTATTTTGTAATAGTTCTACTGGTTACCATCATCTTATAATTACCAATTTCTCCCTGGATTCTATGAGTAGTTTTGCTCTGTATAGTTACATCTATTCATTGATTTTTTTAATTTCTAAATAAAAATTTTAAAAAGGAAAATATCTTTGTTTATAAGGTGTATACTTAGTGAAATATGTTTTCCTTTCAGTCCTATTCTAGGTGCTTCCTGAAAATTGTGATATGTTGTCTTTTCATTTTCATTCAGTTCTTCCCATTAGTTTGCTTACTGCTAACATTTTCTATCTTTACATTTCCCTTCAAACAGGTTTATAACTGCTTATTAAAGCATATTTTTGATGGCAGCTTTGAAACTATTGTCCAATATTTCTAATGTCTTTTATCATCTTGGTTTTGACATCATTTGATTGTCTTCTTATTTAAGTTGAGATATTCTGATTTCTTTGCTATGATGCACGCTGTAAGATAGTGAATCTTGCTTAAACTGTTCGTTTTAGGGTGCTCTCCTCTCCTTCTCATATTTTGTGTTGCTCTGCCAAGGGAAGAGGGCGTCCTCCATCTCTCTGGTGTAGGTAGAAATCCAGGTTCTCTGTTCATACCCAGAGGAATGGTGGTTAACACTGACTGAAGATTGATGGTTTGCACACACTAGCTGCTTAACAGGTATGGCAATCTGCTTTGTAATGATTATAGCCTCTTCCTTCAAGATTCCTATGCGTTAAAATGAAGGCATGACTTTGCTTTGGTTATTTAGCATTCTTTGATGCTGGAGGAGTGACTTCTAACTTCCTTTGAGGACGGAAAGAGGAGGGGAGAATTTTGTCCCATTCTTTCCCACGCCATGAACTTCTCACTTCTGTTAGAGGTGGAGAGAGGTAAGGGAGAGTTCTATCTCTCCACAAGATCTTCTCTGACACTGTGGTGGAGGTGGCCTTTCCCCTACTACAGGGTCTTAGGGACTGTATCTAGATATCTTCTGATACTACCCTCTGGGGGTGGAAATGAGCATTTTACTACTCCTGGTAATGGTGGAAGTCCAGGCTCCTCATAAGAGCTCCACTGATCTTCCAAGGTGAAAGAGTTAATTAGCAGCCAATGAGAGCCAAAATCCTGGCTCTCTGCTTTAACTTTCTCTGACAATTTGACTCAGACTTTGCAAAGTTAGAAGTCTGTGCTTTCTAGTTTAGTGTTTTTTGGCATAGATGAGCATGGACCCATAGTTTTTCTGTGGAGTTTGACTGAAGTATCATATAGTAATATATGCATGAATCTGGTTTTGGGTGTTTTTAATTAGCTATGCTATGAGTGATCTATCTATCGGAAATAATACAAATTCATTGTCATGTAAAAAGGCAATTAAAAAGTTTAGAGTAAAAAAAATATGTTATTGTTCTTATGTACTGTTGAGTTGGAATTGACCCATATCTGACATTGCAGTGGATTTTTAGAGCAGTAAATTGCCTGGTAGGAGACAGTCTATCTTTTTTTCTGTGGAGTTCTGATGGATTTGAACTGTGTGCTTTTGGGTTGCCAGTGCAACTGATACAAATGTGTCAAGCAAATCAGCAATGAAAATGTTACACATTTTCCTGGATTCTATGATGTTTGAGCTACTTGTCAGTTTATTTAGAATATGTATTTTTAAAATTATCATTCCCCAAAATTATTCTTTTGTCTTAGAGTGGGTGAAACCAAGTTTGTCCTTGAAGGCTAGGATTATTTATTTATTTATTTTTATTTTTATTATTTTGTCTGTGTGTGTGCATGTACCGTCAAATCAGATCTGACTGGTACAGGAGGAAATTAATTGCCCCTCCTTCTCCGGCCGAGCATCTGGTGGATTTGAACCGTGTACCTTTCGGATTGCAGTACAGCTTCTTGCCACTAGGCCACCAGAACTCCCCGAAGGCTAGGATTTTGAAGCTCCGTCTCACATACTTTGGGCATGTGGCCAGGAGGGACCAATCCTTGGAGAAGGACATCAAGCTCAGAAGGGTGGAGGCACAGCACAAGAGAGGAAGACCTCAGATGAGATGGATTGATACAGTTACTGGGGCAATGGGGTTGGTGTGTTAGAATCAGGCTGGCTCAGGACAGGCCAGGCTTCAGAGCTGCTGTACGTACATATAGGGTCGCAGGAGACTCGACAGCACATAACAACCACCAACATTTTTTTAAAATTATTATTTGGAAAAGCCTTTAGGCTTTTATTTATTTATGTATTTCTTTTAAGATCTAATTTTCTAAGTTTTAGGGCCAAAATCCCGCATAATTTCACCTTTTTATCTGAGGATGACACTTTGAAATTCAATCCCAGAAGAATGGGAACAGGTGAGAGAAAGCGCATGCAAATTCTGAACATCTCTTTAGCTCTTCATTTGGCCCCTGGAGGGCGATGTTGCATAAATTGAATTTTTTTTTTTTTTCTGTGAAGGCTCAGAATAACCTTAGAAAAGCCTTCCCTCCCCTAAGCTTAACCAGTTACCTTGAGTAAGCGTTTCGCAGACAGTAGCATAAGAGGTATTTCAGAAGCCAGAATCGACTGTCTTCCTACCTGTCTCTACAACTAAGACGACTTGTAAATCTTCATTATTCCTCTATATCCTTAAAAATAACAGGCCCTAGATTCTCAGTTTTTTATTTGCTTGTGACAAATTGCAAGGAAGGAAGCGGCTTTCTCGCTGCCCGCAATGACCTTGGTGCTTATCTTGGTGCTTGGGGTTCTCCTGTCTCCCAGTGAGTATCATTTCACGCACCTCCTTGCCCACAGACCAAACATTGCTCTAATTTGAGTCTCAATTGACAATGTAGGGATTATTTGAAGAGTTTTTTGGAGGTTGGGTTGTTGGGGTTTTTTGTTTGTTTTGTTTTGTTTGGGGTTTTTTTTTGGGTCTGAATTCACCATCTTGGCTTTGATGTTTCAGGAGGAACAGGAGCCCAGTCAGTGACCCAGCCTGAAGTCCATGTCACTGTCACCGAGCAAGCCTCTCTGGAGCTGAGGTGCAACTTCTCTGCTTCTTTTTCGCCGTACCTCTTTTGGTATGTCCAGTACCCGAACCAAGGCCTCCAGCTTGTCCTCAAGTACGTACCAGGAAACCAGCTTGTTTCGGGCATCAAAGGTTTCCAGGCAGAATTCAAGAACTCAGAAAAGTCCTTTCACTTGAGGAAACTATCGGCCCAGTTAAGCGATTCAGCTGACTACTTCTGTGCTCTGAGTGACACAGTGCCTGGGACTGCAGGGGGAGCTGAACACAAACTACCTGGGCATTACAGCATAAAAGACCCGGGACCCAGCACGGTCTGTGAAGGCAAACAATTCAGAAGGAAGTAGAATCTTCCTGAGTGTTTAGATCCTTTGGATAGCTCAGATTTTATGACCTATTTTGTAAAATGAGGACTCTTGCTCTCTCAAGTACAGTGTTTTTATCCTAGAGGTCAAAATTCTAGAGAATGAGTAGCTAGCTACAGGATTTTAATTTGCTCACATGTCTGTTGAGACAATGATGAGCTGAAATGTCTTGAGGATGTCAAACCAAAGATTTCATTTTCATTATTCATCTCATCTCTCAAGCAATCAGAAAACCTAGAGTGAAAATGGTAATATTTTCAGATTATTTTACCCAGGGTATTTGAGAGGCCTTTTGCCTTAAAGCACTATAGTTAAGTGAATAAAGTATTGAATATTTGGAGAATTAGTTAAAGCTGGCATTTAAAGATGTGCACAGTGTACTTTTTACAAAAATGATATCGCCTGCATGAAAAAGGACCATTTTTATCCAGTGTTCCTTAACAACAGACATTCTGAATTAAACTCAAAGTTACACAAAATATCTATGTGGACCCATGGGGCTTGTGGTTCTAAAAGTGATCCTCTCTTTATCAAATCTACCCAGGTTACCTCTCTTCTCTTTTTCCTGTCATGTTTAATTTCTTTAATGCCTATTCAGTGTCAAGGTACAATTATTGACTGCTTGATAAGAAGTTGTGCTGTCGACCCAAAGATAGGCAATTCAAATTCACCAGTTGCTCTGTGGGAGAAAAACGAGCAATCCTCTCTCTGAAAATTCAACGGAGGGCTAGCTATGAGTTAGTTCTGATATCATGACACATAGCAACAATTACTTTACTTATTTTCCTATACTATTACTTAAAATTATGGCTAACATTGAGAAGAATGGAAACCCAGAATACCTAATTGTGCTTGTGTGAAACCAATACCTAGACCAAGAAACTGTTGTGTGGACAGAGCAAGGAAACACTACATTGTTTCAAATTGGGAAAGATGTGCACCAGGGTTGTATTCTTTCCTTGTACCTGTTATATCTGTATGCTGAGCAAACTATTTAAGAAACTAGACTCTATGAAGAAGAATGTGGAATCAGGATTAAAGGAAGAAACAAATTACATTTGGTATGTAGATGACATAACCTCCTGTGCTGAAAGTGAAGAGAATTTTAAATACTTGCTGCAGAGTATTAAATCTGAGGCCTTCAAAATAGATTGCATCTCAATGTCAAGAAAACAAGAATTCTCACCACTGGGCCAATGGACAACATCATGATATATGGAAAAAAGATTGAAACTGTCAATGATTTCATTGACTTGGATCCACTTGGCACCAGCAGTCAGGAGATCAGGAGCCATAATCTACTGGGAAAATCTGCAGTCAGGGACCTCTCCAAATTACTGAGGAGTGATGATGTCACAGTAATTTTAATTGTTTCCTATGCATTTGAAAAGGGTCCTGAATATCCCATGGACTGCCAAAAGAACAGATTTGTCTTGTAGAGGGTACAGCCAGAGTGCTCCTTGAATGCAAAGATTAAAAAGCTTTGTCTCACATACTTTGGCGTGTTGTCAGGAGAGACTATTCTTTGCAGAGAGGCATCAGCTTGGAAAATTGGAAGGCTGGTGAAAGGAAGGAAGACACTCATCCAGACAAATTGACATAACAACAGCAGCAATGGGATCAATTGTGTCAGAGAGGTTGAGGATAGCATAGGATAAGGTCCAGGTTCAGATCTGTTGTTCATAAGGTCGCTATGAGATGTACTCAACTCAATGGCACCTGATAACAACAAATGCATCTGTAAGTTGGACAGTGAATAAGGGAGACAGAAGAAGAATTGATGCCTTTAAATTGTAGTGTTGATGAAGAGTATTGAGTACCATGGGCTTCCAAAGAACAAACAAATCTTTGCTAGAGGAAGTGCAAAAGAGCACTCCTTAAAGGCAAGGATAGTGAAACATATTCTCACTAACTTTGGACATATCTTCAGAAGGAACCAGTCCTTGGGGATAGACATTGTGCCGGGAGAGGTAGAAAGTCAGTGAAGCAGAGAAAGACTCTAACTGAGATGGGTCAACACAGTGAGGACCAAATGGACTTGAGTAGAACAGAGATCATAAGGATGGTACAAGATATAGCAAAGTTCAGGTCTATTATTTATGGGGTTGCTCCAAGTTGTAGTTGCTCTGCTGGCCTAATGGTAAGAAGCTTTCCTGCAATGTTGAAGGCACACAGTTCAAAACTACCAGCTGCTCCATAGAAAAAAGACAGGAAACATCTTGTGTGATTAACTGCCTCTGAAATCCACTGTAGAGTCAGCGATGGGTCAGTTTTGACTCAACGGTACACAACAACAACAAAAATAGTCATTATGTTATCTATTGGTTTAGTAGTGAGAATTTTTTTTTTTTCGTTGAGGTCTAATCCATACTGAAAGCTTTATTCTTCTTCAATAAGTGATTAAAGTCTTTTCCACTTTCTACAAGCAAGTTTTTACCATCTGCAAAACACGGTTTGTTGATAAATTTTCCTCCAATTCTGATACCATGTTCTTCTTAATATATTTCAACTTCTCAGATTATTTGCTCTGAATACACATTGAATAGATATGGACTGAGGATACAATCTTGACTCACATCTTTCCTAATTTTATACCGTGCAGTTTAAAATTTGTTCTGTCACACAATTGCTTCTTGGTTCATGTACAGTTTGTTTCAGCATGAACACAAGTAATTGTTCTGGAACTCCCATTCTCAGTGTTATTTACAATAGGAGCCACACAATCAAAGCATTTGCAGAGTCAATAAAACTTAAGTAAGCATCTTTCTTGTCTTTTTTTACTTTTAACCAAGGTCCATCTGACATCATCAGTAATATCTCTTGTTCCAAAGTCTATCCTCTTCTGCATACAATTTGAATTTCTACCAGTTCCCTGTGGATGTACTCCTCCAGCCATATCTTAAAAATATGCCGCATGAATATACTTGCATGTTGAATGAATTCTGTTGTTTGGCAATGTCTATATTATTTTGGACCATCTGTTTTGTAATGGACACAAATATATGGAATTCTTCCAGTTGGTTCGCCAGATAACTGCCTTCCAAGTTTCCTGGCATAGATCTACTTATTGAAACAATTCAATTTACATTCCATCAAGTCTCAGAGTCTTATTATTTGCCAATGGACTCAGTGTCACTTGAACTTCTTTCAGAACCATTTGCTCCTGAGAATATGCTCACTCACTTACTCGTCACTGTCAAGAGAGAACCAGTTCATAGCGCAGATTGTAAATTATAAGCGAGGAGATTGTATACTTTTCTTCCAAAGATCACTTGATGGATTCAAACTGCCAGAGAGTTGATACCTTTGGTTTAGCAGAGCAGCTCTCTAGGGGTTACACTATCAGAGCTAGGCTACTTCCTGAAATGGTTCAGCATTTACCAATTCTTTTGGTATAGACAGTCTATGTCTTTTCCCCATTTTTTAATGCTTTCTGTGTGTTTTCAATATTTTGCCCATAGAATTGTAATGTGAGGCTTGGATTTTTCTTCAGTTCTTTCAGCTTGAAACATACTATATATGTTTTTCTTTTTTTGTTGTTGTTTTCTAATTCAGGTATTTGTATATTTCGTTATAATACTTTCCTTTGTCTTCTAGAGTTGCCCTTCAAAATCTTCTGCTGAGCTCTTATTTCCTACTTTTTCCTTACTTACTGTACATTAAAGAATAAATTTCAGAGTTTGTTCTGACATCTGTTTTAAGTGTTTTAAATGACCTTTTGCAATTCCCACAACTTTTGTGGTCTTTGGTAATTAGAGTTCAAGCCATGAAATTTATTCTTGAGATGATTTTTAAATTTAGGTGGGATAAACTCACAGTCATGTTTTGGCTCTCATAAACTTATTTTTATTTTCTTCAGCTTTTATATAGTTGAACTTGCATATGAGTGATTAATGGTCTGACCTTATTTTGACTAATGATGCTAAACTTTTACATCATCTCTTTCCACAGATAGAGCCAATTTGATTTCTGCATACTTATCAGGTGAGATGCATGTGTATATTGTTGTTAGGTTCTGTGGCATTTACAGTGACCCCAGAAATCAAAGCTTTGTCATAATCTGCACCAACCTCACAATCTCAGCCATACTCAAGTCATTTGCTGCAACCGTTACAGCAATTTATCTTGTGAAGGATCGTCCTTTCTTTTACTGAATCTTTACCTTTCCAATCATGATATCTATATTTCCAAGGGCAACATGATTAAAGTATGTGAAATGAAGTTCCACCATTTTTGTCTTTAATGAGCACTTCCTCCAGGATAGTTTTGTTTGTTCTTTTGGCAATATATGGTATAGAATTTCCAAACAATAATCTTCACAAATATCACAGTTCAAAAGAACAGATTCTTCTTTGGTCTTCCTTATTAATTTGGCATTAGTAGGTGATGATATTTGGATTAGTGGGTGATATTTGAATAATAGCGGTGTTAATTGATTTTTTTTTGTAAGTATATCAAGGTTACCCCATCACTGACAGCAATGTACTTCAGGACAGATGTTGAAATATTCCATTTGACAATGAATGTGATATGATTCTTCTTCAAGTTGTTAGTCATTGTCAAGCTCTCTTATGCATAGTAAGTGATTGTAAAGACCATGGCCTATATCAGGCACACCTTACTCTTCAGAGTGACATCACTGCTCTTCAGAACTTTGGAGAGATCTCTAACAGTAGACTTTCCAGCACAATAGGTCTTTTAATTTCCTGGCTGTTGGTGCCAAGAGGGTTGATTGTGGAACCAAGCAAATTAAAGCTGTTAACAATCTCAATCTCTTTACCATCTCTCATGATACTGTCGGTTGGTGCAGTATGCTTGTAAGAAAAAGTATTCACATCAATGCAGATATATTTATTGCAGTTTTGTTCACTATAGCACGGAGTTGGAAACAACCTAGGTGCTCATCAACAAACGAATGGATAGAGAAGCTGTGGTATATTCACACAATGGGATACTATGCTGCATTGAAAAACAAGGAACTCATGCAATATTATTCAAAATGGTTGACTCTGGAGAACATTATGCTGAGT